TTACATTTTCTAATAATAGCTATACTAATCTTCTCACAAAGCAGCTTACTTATACTTTCACCAGATATGATCAGTCTCAGTGGACTTCGAGCTTCTCTCTGGGCTCCTAACTTACTAGGGTTATCCTTTGATCATAGCCGGATGCTTCACACCATATCAGAATTGACTTTTCTTTTTATAAAACGAAGCACAGACACAAATACAAAGAGCAGAAAAAAAATGAAAAAATATCTTAATATCAAATTCTAGTCTATCTAAACAAATAAAACTAAACAAAACAAATAATGAAAAAAAAAAAACAAAAGAAAGAAAACAAAGATAGTATTATTAAACCTATGCCAAATTGTAAAAATTATATAGTGCTAAAAATAAGCTAGACTAAACTCTATACTAGTTATTTATGTCTATATTTAGGATGTAAAAATATTAAAAACCATCTGGTTTTAAAGTAAAGCTTCAAGGTCAAAACTTTCAGTTGCTATTCTAACTAGGTTGATGGGTCTTCTGCAGTGTTTCAAACATTATTACATTATCTGACACTATTCATTTCAAAGTAAACACATATATATATATGTGTCTTTCTTTTTTTAATAGCTATTACTGTATCGATCTTTTGTTGAGAGTATATCAGTTTTTCTACTTTTTGGTAAAAATTTCATAAAGTGCAAAAAGTGAAGTTTGGTGGAGAGTTTTAGTTTGCAGATATCCTTAAACTTTAGTAAAGTGTGTATTAAAAACTCGCTTGTTGTTCTTTTTTAGACTAACTATTATCTAATTTTATCAACAGAAACAGTGCTTCTATTAAAATTTTTTGCATAAAGGCACCACCTTCTTGCCAGTTATTTTGTACAAAAATGCTTTTAACTTGCATATCAAATATACAGAGAAGTTCAGAGAAAAACAAGACAAGCCTTGATCTCTGTAAAAATCATTATTGTATAGTTGTTTCTTCTACTTTTCTTCAACAAGTTTCTGTTTTCGTTAGCTGTAAGTTTGGTACAAGTGATCGTCAGAGAGAGTTTTGTAAATATTTGCATTCTATTTTTTATTCTAAATCTTAATACTTTTTGTAATAGAATTATAAAATATTCTGATTGTCAATTTATTCTTCTATATACAAGAGACTGAATCATATAAAAATAGTAAAAATAATTCTATTTTATTTTCTATATAGAGAAAGTAAGTACAAACAAAAACTGAAAAGTGAAAGAAGTTTTTTATATAAAAGAGGGAAATTAAATAAAAAAAAAAACAGAGAATTGAAGAAAATTTAATTTTATTTCTGTATTTTGTTTTTATTTTTCTGTTTCAATAAAGCTGATCTTGGTGGCTCAAATTCATATAAATATTCGGTTTAGATACTTTTGCATGTATATTTTGTAAATTTATTTATTGTATTAATAACAGATATTAATCTGTATAAGAGTATTTGTCTTCTTTTTGATGATTTCTTAGTTAACAATAAAACAAACTAAATTACAGAAAAATGTTATAAAAAAGCAACAAAGTAGATATAATAATACTTTTGGTCTATACAAACAAATTTGCTGTTAATAAAGCTACTGTATATATAAAACACCAAGAAACAGATATATAACAATGAACTGATTTTGTGCCTTTGGGCCAAGCTTTTTAGTAGACTTCCTTACACTTTTGACATTTAAACTAGAAGAGTTATTCTGAAGCAACATTTTTGTAGATCTCTGGTCAAGAATATTTAGTAAAAACTTAAAAACTTAACTATATAACTATAAAACTTACAAAAAGAACTTTATATACTTTCATTGACCCACTATTTTTTTTTAAAGAAATTTTTATAAAAAGTAGATGATTTAGTTTACCTTCTTCAAAAGATCAATATCATATACATCAAAATAATCGGCATTGTTTATTTTCTAAATTAGTATAACAGAATAACAAACACATAAAGACTTATACCTCGAATATAACAAGCAGATCAAACAATGCTTTGAGGCTAATCTGGCTTGAGTACTGACCTTTTTATCTAATCTGATTAAAAGAGTATTTATCCAACAGTATTTTAAACTTAGATATACTAAATAGATAAATTTAAAATAGAAATACAATTTATTTAATTTTAATATATAATTTTTTAAAACCTTTCACAAATCTATAAATATAATTTTAAGATAGTCATTCTTTTTATTTTTGTTTTGATATTTTTCTTCTTTCTTATTTTTTTGATTATATCTTTTATCATTATTTTTATAACTTCATGTTTTTTTTTATCTGTTTTTTTTTCTTTTGCTAAACTTCTTAATGAAGCATGCAACTGCTCCAGCTAGTGATTGTTAAGATCAAATCCTTAAGAAGTTGAGGATCCAACATGAAGTATAATGTTGCTAGGCAGATCACATCTGGACCTTAGTGTCGAGTAAATCTCTTCACACAGTAGAATTATAGTATAAAAAATTGTATTCACTGTTAATATTGATTTTCTAATACTTCCAATAAAGCATAAGGCAGAACCACCAAATAAAAAAAAATAAATTAATAAAAATATTTTTCTTGACATTTACACTTGTTAGATTAAATCCAACAAAAATGACTAGTTGTTTACCATTTTCCTAATGCTATTCTTGATATCACAAGTAATATATTTTTTACTACTTTTTATTAGTAAATTATATAAATATCTGCAAGCAACCCGAAAATTTATTTTATAGAATGTGACCCAGGTCACGTCATCACGTGATATATGGGGGCAGTATATGCGTAATTATGATTTTTGAAACTTCCGGTGGCATAAACAATCGTGTTTACTTTTTACATATGGACTAGGTGCTAGAAAAAGGCCGAAAATGACAATTTTTTCAAGAGTTTTTTTTTTACATAAATCAATTTAAAATAAAATTAACTTATGATACGTACAAAAGTAGTTGTATGGCTCTTTAAAGTAATATAAAAATTGATTATCTTTTTTTTTGTCATTTTTGGCCCTTTTCCCAGCACCTAGCCCATATGTATTTCGGGATTTTATTGTGTTGTACTGTAAGTTTGTTTTACCAAGTAGCCAAAATGCGAAAAGATCTTAGTTAATGCTAACGCTAATAGAACACATCGAACTAAATAAACTGGTAAACACCGACTTCATATCAGATATCGATATGCAGTAGCACAGCATATACGGAAATTCGTCCAATAGGAATTGAGAGATACAATAACCACAATTGTAGATAACAAGCCAATCAGAAAATAAAAATACTTAATTTTGACAATGCCAATCCTCCCAACGACCACGCCGCGTTCCTCTTTTCACGAGGAAATGCATTATAAACGGAGAAGACCGACATACTGGACTGCTTCAATTCCTTTATTTCTACGAAGGTTGTTTCGTTTTCCGCAAATGGTATATTATCGAGATTTTTTATGAATGATCGAGTCCAGAAACAATAATTGTTTTATATTTACAAAATCTTTATCCAGGATTTCGAGTTTGCACTTTGGCAAATGCTCTACTTATGTATATCTCCAAGAAGAGTGTGAGTAACAACTTGGTTAAGTCATTGATATGTATCAAATCTTGCACCCGGGTTTAATAACTAATTTGATTCTGATAAATTACTAGATATCGCAACATTTATTATCATAAACGTAAGTTTTTTGCTTTTTTATAAAACATTAAATTTGAAGCTTTATTGATCTTGTCATATTTATTTTACTTTATCCTATTTTTGCTTTTCAGAAACAAAAAATCAATGGGCAAGGGATGACCCGGCTTTTGTTGTAATTTTATCATTTTTTCTGGGTGGTAAGTTCTTAATTTTTTTTTAATTTTTTTTTCTATTTTTTCCTTGCATTCTTTTAAAGCAGTTAACAATATTGGCCTGTGTTACATATAAAAGCATCTGCAATAGCCTGGGGAATAGTCTATGGGCATGGGATAGTGGGAATCCTCAAGATGATCCTATTTATGGTCTTTATAGATTTTGTAATGGTTGGTCTAGTGATATCGACGATTTGTTGGTAATCTATTGTTATTATATTATTAAATTTCACCTCTTACAATTATCTGATTATTATTATTGTCTCTCAATCAAAAGGGCATTCGCAAACAGATTTCTGTCACATAGACGTACAGTACATACCGTTGAACAGACTGTGGAATGGGCCTATGCGTTCGATGTACATTGCAATGCATTTTTCCCTTTATTTTTAATCTTATACATTGCCCAATTTTTCCTCGTGCAAATCTTAACCAAACAAATTTGGATTTGTTTATTCTTGGGAAATTCAATGTACCTAGTAGCGATAGGCTATTATTGTTACATAACTTTTCTTGGCTATAATGGTACGTTTGTTTCTTTCATTCAATGTTGATTTGTGTTTAAATCTTTTCTTACCATTTAATCATTAATTACAGCACTCCCATTTCTGTTACATACTGAGATGTTCCTATATCCGATAGTTCTTTTTCTCATAATTTATTTCGTATCTCTTTTTGGGTTCAATATCAGTGCTATAGTTTTACAATTGTATTTTAGTTCGTAAAATTCGTAAATTAACTATTTTTAGTTTTTGAAATTTAATATTTATAAATTGGGACATTTAGACATTAATTCAATGATTGTTTAGATAGTGTTTTAATATTACATCTGTTATGTGATCAATTTTATATTTATTGACCACACGTGATTTAACCAAGAAAGAAATTTTCACTGTAATTTGTGACTAAAAAAAGCACGTTTTCATTTTACATTTATTTCACATCACAATACTCGTAGTTCTAACACACAGTCATCCTTCTTTAGTATTCTTAATGAATGCTACAACTTTTATATAATATCTTTCCTTAATCATCACAAAAAAAAAAAAAAAAAAAAAAGAAAAAAAAGAAAAAAAAAATCCAAATTTTGATGGAATATTACAAATAAACTAATTGGAAACACTCTTGTAAAAGTAACATGACAAAAGTGAGTATAACATACATAAATATATTTCGTGGCTTTTAAAAATTGTTAATCATCACTAAAAATCTCCTATTTGTCGCTGTTTACTCCTTTCAATGTTGCACCTTTCAACATTGCACATTGTTGTTTATGTCCATTTTTCCAATCATTCTTTTGACATTCCTTGGAACAATAATTCACACGTCCACAACCAGAGCAAACTAACAATTGTGATTTCTTTTCATTACTTACATCTCCATTTACATCTTTTCGCACTTGGCTGCTACAAGAATTACACTTTTTACCCTGATTATTCTGATCAAGGAATCGTTGCAAAATTTTTAATTTCTCAGCCTCCTTTTTGGATCCTTTTTCCACTTTAGTACTTTCTTTTAACTGTTCTGGTTCGAAAAGTGCGACTGCAGTACGTTTAGCATCGGTCATCTCAGGGGTGCGTCCATAAAGATATTTGTATCTTTCTTCCGCTTCTTTAGCTCTTCCGAAGTAATTTGAAGCTTGTTGAGTACGTAAATTTTGTGTGACCTGTTTTCGATTACCTATCGTCGTTGCATTGGCATTTTGAATCGTAAGTGCAGATAAAGCGTAAAGAGCAGGTGCATAAGAAGTCGAATCTTTATTGGCCTTTTCAATGTAAGTTTTAAAGTTACGTGTAGCCTCCATTCGATCACCCTGTGATCTATATATAGATCCCATAATGTTATAAGCATCAACAAAATTGGGATTAATAGACACCAAGCGTTCAAGGTCTTTGATACAATGTTTGTGTTCTCCAGCTGCAAGATAACATGAAGCGCGAAGATGGAGAAGACGAGGATGAAGAGATGAATCAAGTTGTCTAAGAGCTATGGTAAGAGTTTGAATGCAGAACTGATATTGTTTTCCGTTGAAGAGAAGCCAGATTACTAGTATAAGCGACCTTAATAGTAAAAGGCGTTAATTTTACATAGTTTTTGTTTAAGTTCTCACGTTACAATACTTACTCCCTTGTAAACTCCGGTTCGAATGTATCCGCCTCCTCCGGAAGAGACAAATCTTTCTCCGATTTCTTTGCCTCTACCACTTCCTTGCCTTTCTCATCCTCGACTGCTTCTTCCGATACTTCCTCATTCTCTTTCTTTTCATTATCTTCTACACCATATTGTAATTTTAAAAGTTTTTCATATTGTTGAGCAAGTGTCATAATTCTAGGTGACATCTCAGTTGCTTTCTCGTCTAATAAAAAGGCTTCGACAAGACATTTTGTAGATTCATGAATCTCTTTCTCATGGGCTTTCAAAGTTTCTTCATTCGAATCATCCGGAATCTTTGACGCGATATTGATACCTTGTGTAAACAAGTCTTTTGCTTTAAAATACTGAAAACAGGAATTAATGAATTACAAATGAGTTATAACTATATATATATATATATATATAACAAATAGCTTTTACCTCAGCGACCTCAGGGTCTTCGGTCTCTTTTCTTTTGCCGCGAATCTCTAACAAATCGTATTCTTGAATTCTACTGTGTCTATCTACCAAAGGGTCGAGGTGATGTTCATGATCGTGATCATGATCGTGATTTTGTCTGTGTCCATGGTGATGGGAATGGTCATGGGCATGATGTTCGTGAGAATGCTCGTGAGAATGGTCGTGATCGTGGTCATGGTCGTGTGTGTGATCGTGAACGCGAGAATTAAGGACAGGTACTTCAGCTAACTCGGTCATATTCATTCAACTTATGAAGAAAGGCCTCTTAGTGGCTTGAATCTTGTGAGACTGCTTTAAAAAGCCTGTTCGTTTATATCGATGTGTCGCAGTTAGTGAAGATCGATGGTTACTTGCTATAAATACCGAATTTGCATTTTGATTTGAGACCCAATAGGTGGGTCTGTGTTCTTGTAATCTATAAATCGATAGCGCTTAGAACAAGGGTTACGAAATGATCGTTACGTTCATACAACGAGGGTCCCAAATTCCAGGTCGGAATCAACCGAAACCAAGTGGCAAAACGAATCGGCCAGGGCGGCCGTCAAAATTAAGTAGCAGCTGCAGCTTTAGGGTAGAGTAAATGTAGATCATTTTTTATCTACGTAGTATTTGGGATTTTTACATAGTAAATAAAAAAATGCTTCTGATAAACTTTTTAACACCTTAATTAATATGTATCAAATTTATATGATATGTAGTTTAAAACAGGTTGTTTATAATAGTGAAGTTGCGCAATATGCATTGCTTTAAAAAATTTTAACTTCACATATAATCAAAGTTTGCCTAAATCTCTATATGTTTTTCCTAGGTGGTACAAAGAATTGCTAATTTTGGGGGACGTCTAAAGCGGAGGCAACTCATTAATAATTTTTTTCGATTAACTTTAGGGTTAGGGTCTTCTATATTGGGGTTAGGCTAGGTTTTAGTAGATAAATATAAGCAAAATTGCCTTCCCGACATTTTTGATTAACCTATCTGAGGTAGGTTTAGACTGCCGTTTTTTGTATTTTTCGGGTTTTTGGTTTTTATTTTGTTTTACTTCGCCAGCGATCATCAAAATCTATAATTTGATTATTTGATTGGATCTTCCCAGTATCGCTGTCAAAATTTTCACTTTCACGTGACAGTGTTTTGGGCACAAAAAATCTTTAAGTTCGTTTAAGTTAAGGTTAGTGTCTATGATAGAGTTAAATATTATGGGGTCTATAGTAAAATTGCTCAAGGAAATTTTTTTGTTAGAATACAAAAGGTCGAAATATGCGATTTTTGAAAAAGCGAACATTCTTCCTGATCATGTAATGTTACATTAAAGTGAGGTTCGCTATTGAATAAGCCACTATAGATCTTCGGCGATACTGAGGTAGTTTTTGATTGGCGGTTGATGGTTACAGTACGATTTCCCAAAAGCTATTTCTTCGGTAGTTTTCTGGCAAATTTCTTGTGAATATTCCTTTGGCGTTTTTTTTTTTGGAGAATTATCTTGTGGATTTCCCTCTGGTCCTTTGGCTTTTTTTTTTTTTTTTGGAGGATTCTTTTGTGGATTTCCCTCTGGTCCCTTGGCGTTTTTTTTTTGGAGAATTCTTTTGTGGATTTATTAGTTGTTTAATTTTAACTACTGTAATCAATTTGTAAAATTTTTATCAACTCGGAACTCTGATGAAGTTTTTTTTTACTGAAGCGTGTACTTGCAGATACATATGTACAATGTTTTTATCAATAAATATGCTTATTAATATTGTTATGATTGTATTATAAATGCAAGTGTGCATGAATTTTTTTTTTCACAATATAAATTTTTAATTAAATTATCGCTGTTTTCAAAATGGTTGAAAAAAAATTTTTTTGAGTATATGCATATACTCGTATATCAGATTACTTTAACACATCGATAGAAGATCGATACTGCATATGTACTTCTTGTTTATCATAAAACAATTACATATCTAATTATTACAAGTCACTTGTAACAATTAGACATGCAATTGTTTTATGATAAACAATAAGTATGTATGCAGTATCAATGTGCTAAGGTAATCCAGTATATGAGTATATGCATATACTCAAAAAAATTTTTTTTTTATCTATTTTCAACCATTTTGAAAATAGCAATAATTTTTTTTTGCAAAATTACATTGTTTTAAATAATATTAAAATAATATGTATTTATGTATGTTCTAAAATAGTATATATCTTACATAATACATTAATAGAGTAACAATTAAATTTTGAATACTGCATATTGTATTGTAGTTAATATATATATAATTAGTTGTATTTGTTAAAATATTTGAATTTTTAAATTTTTATTTTGTAAAAATGTCTATTTTTTCCTTAAATAAAAATATTTTTGAAGAAACTCATATAGAAAATACTCAATTACAAGCAGACCTTTCAAATTTACAGTTTCAATTTTTAGTTCAAGAAGATGATAATTTATCTTTATTTGAAACATCTGAAATTTTAGAAACTACAGAAAATGATCTTTTAGAAAATGAGGTTTGGACTGAAGAAGAGCTTTCAAAATTTAAAAAATTATATTATAAAGAAAAAGATATTATTGAAAAACAAGAAGATGATAATCAAGATTTAGAAAATGAAATAAATTTATTACAAAATGATAGTTTTAAAAAATCTTTTGAAAAAGATTGTTGTGAAAAAAATTGTTTACAAACTCAAGTTGAATATTCTGTAGCTTTAAAAAGATACTTAAATTTTAAAAATCTTTCTAAATCTTTTCAAGATATATATTTATTAGGTATAATTGCTGCTACTAAACGACCAGAAGTAATTAAACATTCAAAAAAGTCTAAGCTTACTACAGAATATAGCTTTGAAGGAAAATCAATTTGTAAAAATGCTTTTAAAACAATTTATGGACTTGGAGATACAAGATGGAAAAATTTAAGAGATCATTTTGTAGAACATGATATAAATTTACGTATTAATTCAAAAAC